TAGATCTTTTGCCTCACTCCATCTTTTTGAATTTAGAGGAGACCGGGGCTAGTTGTCACAAAGGGAAGGTGCCTTTTTCTCAGTAATCTCAAGCATTTCTGAATGATCATGTGACTCTGAAGAATGGAGTAATGATGCTTACATTTCAGCTTTGCCATCAAAGAAATTAAATTTTAAACATATAAAATAGAAAACAGTTATTTTAAAACGCAACTATTTCACATTAATGCTTTGCTTTTTTTTTATCAAATAAATACAAATGCAAATAAATTATCTCAAAATCATTAAAAAAATCTTACAGACCCCAAACTTTTGAATAGTAGAGTGTCAGGTGGGCCACATCTAGACGTTTTCTTTCTTTTTCTATGAAACCAGTATAGACCAAATCTATACTAACGATATAAATTTATCTTGACTTTTCCTAAATTTGAAGTGTTTCCTGTCATGATGAAGGTTTAAGGTGTGAAATGTGTTAGCAGTGCAGTACATCATTTCTTGTGCAACAATACGCAGCTTAAGATGAAAGACTTTCATGAAATAATTAAATGCTTCAGTATTTATGTCAGATATTTGTCTGGCACACTAATCTTTCTCTTCCTGTACAAGAACAATATAAATGATAAAAAAAAAAACTCTTGGATTAAACAGTGGAGTCAGGTAACATAGGGCTATTTTCATCCTTTTATCCTTAAATGAACCAGAGGTAGAGACTGCTGTTTTTTGGCAGTGTGTTGAGTGAGTCAGTTCTTTTTTATTTAGCAGACTTTCGTACCCCTTCTACTTTTTTTTTGGTATATAAACTATAGATCAATGATATAAATATAATAAAAATGTCCACTAAGATCCTATAAGGAGTGAAATCCTAAATGAATAGGTGACTCCGTGGGTCTCTTGCTGAGAGTGTTGTTGCTCCATCTGCTGGTTACAGTGTGGTACTGCAACTAATTGCATTTAAAAAAAAAAAAATTAAATCAGGACCATGGTGTTATTTAATATTATTTATTACTATTTTAATAATTGTTAATATTTCGAATTTGCTTTTATTTTTATATTTTTCATTTCTCATCTTCATTTTAGTTTGATTTTAGTTTTGAGATCATTTTATTATCTGCTTTGTTATTATTCTTATTTTTATTTACGTTTAGCTTTTCATTTCCATTTTGCTTTAGCAATTTTAGTACTTATTTGAGATAGTTGCCAATGTAACATTAAAGCCATTTTAATTTTAATTCCATGTAATATTTAAATTTTATTTAAACTTAATTCAGATACTGAAATGATTTGTAATGGTTAATAGTTTTAGTTAACAATAACAACAGTGATTATAAGACAAAGCCTTACACTGCCCTTTTAGGTTTAATGTTCTTCTGATGGCTTGTTTTTGGAGGTTATTGTAGGAACAAATAATTATATGAAATTAATGACAGATTAACTGAAGTGATGAACTTCCAAAATTAACCAAATGTGCATTTAGTGTCATTGATTTTTTTTTATCATTATCATACATGTCTTATTATTATCAATCTTGAACAGTTGAAACAGTTTGTGCTGCTTATTGTCACACACACACACACACACACACACACACACACACACATCACAGGAATAAAGACATTTTAAAATAAATTAAAATATTTCATTCAAGTGTTTTTGATCAAATGCTGCCTTGGTGATTATAAGTGACTCAAAAACATAAAAAAATCTCAATGATTCCAATTTTTTTGACTAGTAGTGTATGCTATACTGGCATTTTAGCAGCCCTGCTTTCTAGATACCAGTATCAGCAACTGAAAAACGCATGTTGTTGATCACTAAACGCACTGACATAAGAGAATTGGGCCAGTTATTGGGTAATATCACAGTCCCAACAGTTACCTGACCCCATTAGCAGCCCTGTTTTACAGTGTGTGTGATTCTTAATGACACTCACACAAGTGCTGACATTACAATCAGTAACCCTCTCAAGACAGTTTCCTGTAGATGTGATGAGGCAGGCTGTTTGCCAGACAGTAATGTTATAAATGGAGGAAATGGGAGTACAACCTCCACGATTTAAATCAGATTTTGAGTCCCTTTCATCTATTTAACGCCCTTGAGCAGGAAATCTAGACCTCTACCTCCAGATGACCTCGCGTTTGTTCACTTACAGAGCTAAAACCCGTTATTTTCCATAGATGTCTGTTATCTTGTGAATCAAGAGGGCAGGCTGCTTTGAAATAACTTTAATGTTCTGATTAGAAGCCTGAAAAACAGTACCGGCCAATCAAAACAAAGATTGTAGGATTGTCAAATGCAGGTTCAGTTATATGCAATCAAAACCATTGCTTTGGTTAAATCCCTTCATAGAAGACTACAATGTTCTATTCCAGATAAAAATACAAAAGCAGAATCATAAAATAAAAAGGATAGTACACCCAAATATGACAATTCTGTCATCATTTACTTACAGTAGATATTTTGAAAAATGTTGGTAACCAAACATCTGACGGTAGCCATTGACTTCCATAATATGGAAAAAAAATTACTATGGAAGTGTACTATGGATATAAGGGTGAGTAAATGATAGATTTGTCATTTTTGAGTGAATTATCCACATGGACTCTCTCCAATCAAATATGAATAAAGTGCCTTATATAAGCAATTTTCTAAGCTGTACACATGTTAGGAAACCAGAGAGCGATCCTGCTGTGATGGCTCAACATTCAGTCATCTGCATTGAGTTTAGTGTGAGCCTGTATTAAATGTCAGACACCCACACTGTGAAATCATCCTGTTATATGCAAGATAGCGGTTGAGATCCATTAGGCACTGTAAATGCTGTAGAACAATTCCATTTTCATTATATATGTACAGTTTGCATCTTATGTATTAGATTATATGGCTCTCAACTAAAGAAAGTTGACCACAATAGTAAATATTAGATAAAGTGCAGTCATTGTTTCAGAAAAGAACAAAGCTGATAAAAAATACAATGAGATATGAACTGACCATTGCCAGATATTGCCTGAACTGGAATGTGAATTCTAGGCTTAACTTGTCTACTTCTGTTGCTGTTCCTGGAATAAAATATAAAACTGTACCAATAAAGGTAAGGCTGCAAATGTTTCTTAATTAGATATCTGAGAACCTACATATCTCCACGTGATAATTTACTGTGTATTCGATATGTTAATATTTACTGCTCTTGCTATCTGTGTTTTAGTCTGTTATGGAGGTTACATCTTATCTTTGGGATAGAAACATTAAGATGTTTAATCAACAAATTATTTACAGAAATGCACTTTTAGAAGGCAATTCGTTTCAGTGCTAGCACGATAGTCAATAGCTAGAATCTATCAAAATCTATTAAAATTAGTATTTTCTATTTTCCTCTTTTTAATTTCTGTAGCAAATCTCACAAGGAATAGAACATTTCTGGGCTGTTTATTCATCCCAAAGTCTAAAGAAAATATATATATATTTATTAGTGCTGTCAAACGATTAATCGCGATTTATCGCATCCAAAATAAAAAGTTTTTGTTTACATATGTGTGTGTACTGTGTATATTTATTATGTATATATAAATACACACCCATACATGTATATATTTAAGAAAAATATGTTACGTTTATATATTAAATATTTGTATATAATATAAATGATATGAATATAAATATATACAAGTAAATGTATGTAAATATTTTCAAAATATATACTGTATGTGTGTATTTATATATACATAATAAATAGACACAGTACACACAGATATATTATGCAAATAAAAACTTTTAATCATCGCTCCGGCCTGACAGGGCATCATCACAATATGGTAGGGGTGTAACATTTCCGTCACACGCTTGAGGTATTCGGCCAATCATAACGCACTGGATAGCTGGCTAATCAGAGCACACCTCGCTTTTCAGACCGATTAGTTTTGTAAAAATCGACGCGTTTCAGAAAGGCGGGGCATAGAGGAGAAACAATAATGTACAGTATGTGGAAAATGTGTTTTTTGAACCTTAAACCACATAAACACATTTCATTACACCAAATACACAAAATAATGTTCTTTTTAGCAGCATCATATGACCCCTTTAAAAACAATAACCCTGGAGAAATATTGCTTATGTTTTTACAAGGCCAAATATTCTGCAAGATGCATTACATATATAAGTAAGCACATGCAGAATTTGTGAAAATATGTGGACAATAGCACAATTTGTACCGTAAAAGTTATCAAATCACATAGAAATGAATACTTTAGGACTTATCTTCTGAATATTCCAAAGACAAATTCACTGTTTCAATAACTAGTTTTAACTAGTGTAATTAGAGTTTCACAGTCAAAAAAATCTGCCCAAGGTTATTTTTGGTTGTTAGTATTTTGGATCTAAATAACTAGACTGTTGCAGAACTGAAAAAGAAGTGTGAGAAACCCTTTTTACCCTTGCAAGGGTTTGAGAACCAGACATATAGTAACAAAAAGTCAAAGCACATAAAAAAGCAATAGTCATGACTATTATATGTGTGTGTGTGCATATATATATATACACAAAACAAATAACACAATAAAATACTAGAAATAGAGGGAAATTAGAATTTCTTACATATTCTATATTTCTGACAAGCTAGAATAGATGTTTTTTTTTTTTTTTTTTTACATGAATTTCTAGTATTTTTTCAAAGTGCAATTTTTGGCAAATTGCATGGATAATAATCAATGAACCAAATCAGCATATTAGAATAATTTCTGAAGGATCATGTGACAACTGAAGACTGGAGTATTGATGCTGAAAATTTAGCTTTGTAAATTACATTTGAAAATATATTTAAATGGGAAAAAAATAAATTTTAATAGTATTCCACAATATTACTGTTTTACTGTATTTGTGATCAAATAAATACAACCTTGGTGAGCTAGGAGACTTTAAAAAAAAAAAAAAATTTTAGAAAATCTGACCAACCCCAAACTTTTGAATGGTAATGTAAACTTTGCAAGTGTAAGAATTACTTGGTGCACCATCACAGCGTATTTTAAAAGAGAACAATGTCCTCACCCTGTCCAGTGTGCTGGGGTGCTCCCTGCCGGTAACAGGCATCACACACTCGTACAGGGGTGCCGCCCCAGCCCCTCTCGGGCACTGGCATGCTGTGAGTGGAGCAGGCCTGACAGAAACCCTCCCCACATGCCCGACAGTGGTGTTTCCTCTCCGCCTCCTCAAACGCTCTTTTACAACCATGACATTCCTGAACAGACAAACATGATATTTTTACAGAATAAAACAATAGGTGTTCTCTTTCACCTATTCCTATAGGGCATATCAACTCACAATGATTTCAGAGTTGGGTTTCCAGTAGGGTGGAGCCACCTGGTCTGTGAGCCAGGCAGTGACGACTTTAGTTGGGCCTGAGCTGTATTCTGTCACTGATTGGATTAAGTAATTCATTCCATCCAAAACCCGCTGAGCTGCATTCTGATGGTCTGTCTGGAAGGCATCGGTCTACAAGCATAAAAACAACATTAACCACTGTGAGCATCAATGGAGTCAGCACATGGATGGGAACACAGAAAAACAACTCACCCCCTGCCAGACATGCTTGACCTCTGGCCGCACCACACTGCTCTCTGGATCCTGGTTGCCCATCCAGTACTGTCTACTGCGGTAGATGATGCCACAGCTGGCACACTCTAAAACATAGCTGTAGAATAGGGGTGTAACGATCCATCGATTAAATGTCTAACTATACGATGCATCGATGCCACACTTGAAATATTGATATCTGTAGTATAAATAGGCACCTTATTTTGACAACAGGATGTCTACACCAAAATGGCAATGGAGGCATCACAGACTTCACTTGCAAGGGTAACTTAGACTGTCAGAAAACTAGTTAATGTTCATTATATCAGCTAGTTATATTATAATGCTAGTTATTGTCTTATTACTTGGTTTTATAGGTTCTTTTACACTGCATATATGTTTTATCTATCTAAATTGTAAAAATGTTTTGTTGGAGATCAACTGAAAATATTTTGTTTTTATTAAGTTTTTATTAATGTGGGTTACATGAGATCTGTAAAAGTTATTAATTACAATGTCATGTTATGATTATTTCAGAACCAGAATAATGAAGAAGAGAACAGAAAGCATGCTGAGACAGATCTGTTCCCACCCTGCAAGAGAAAGAAAGTGGATGCTTGTGCTCTTGAGGACTTATTTGGAGATGCATTTTCCCCTCCCAAAACAAAACATCCACCTGTGTCACCATATAATCAGGCCTCTGATGAAGTCAGGAAATACAGAGATACAGAGGCATTACCTCTTACAGGAGATCCACTCGTCTGGTGGAAGGAGCACCAGTCTGATTTCCCATTACTATCAAACTTGGCAAGCTGTACCCTCTGTATCCCTGGTACAAGTGTAGCAGCAGAGAGGGTGTTCTCCACTGCTGGAGATATCATTACAGCAAAGAGGAGTACTCTTAACCCTGAGCATGTTGATCAGTTGTTGTTTCTGCATAAAAATCTGAAGGTGTAATTGTGTAAAGTGATGTATTTTGTTGCACATTCCACCACTTGAGACCAAAATGTGAAGGTGTTTAAAAATGTGAAGTGTTTGAGAAAGTTAAGATTGTTACAGTTTTTTTTTTGCTTTTATGGAATATGTTTCAAGTTTTGTTCAGCCATTGAGCCTTGTTGACATGTTTCAGCACTTGGCATTATACTTAAGTTATCGAGTCAGAGACTTAAAAAGCAGAAGGAAGATCTATTCTAAGTTGTTTTTTTTTTATTTCACGTATATTGTTGTTTGTTATTACAAAATTTCAGTTATCAAAACTGTTATAACACTGGCTATTCAATGTACAATAAACAAATATTACCTTTACGAAATTCTGCTCAACATAAATGTAATTGCAAAATTGACCTGTATCGTGATACGTATCGTATCGTGACATTGCTGGTGATACACAGCCCTACTGTCCACATGTTCCCCAATGTCCGTCTATGCATTACCGCCAACGCTTGGATTCTCGTTCAAACTCACATGTCGGGACAATAAAACTGCCTGAAGGGCGAGCATAAAAGACGCTCGGGATAGTTGACGGAATTGTCGAGCCCTTGTGAGAAGTTTTCAGCGCGCATGGATGAACAAATTCAGACCAAATTACATCAACGTGCGCCTTTGCGAATATCCTAGTAAACAGTCGGTTAGGCCTATGTCTTAATGTTATCATGCTATGTCATCAGTATATTGGATCTGTACTTTCGTTCTTAAAGTGAAAGCAGACTTCTGTCTAAGAAAAAAATATCTCACTGGTTTTGACTGAACAACTTTTATAAGGATTAGGGGTGGAACGGTACATAGATGTCAAGGTTCGGTACGTACCTCGGTTCGGGGGTCACGGTTCGATACGATTTCGGTACAACAGGAAAAAAAAAATCTACTATGCTAGGTTTCTTTTCATTTATTTTGAACAGACAGTAGTACAAATTAAAAAAATTTTCACCTAGATGTGAAAATACTAAATATTATTACATTATGTTATATATATATATATAATCTGCAGTACATATACATACAAGGAATAAATTCTTTAAATATATTTGATTTAGTTTACAGATAAACAAGAGAAAAAAACAGTGCGACACGTAACGTAGCCTATATATGGTGAGTTTCAGTTCATTTTTGTGACAGGCTTAATTTGTTCACAGAAAGGAATAATAGTTTAGCATTCAGATACGTTACATCGCAAATATGGAAATATTATGGAATATTTGGATTTGTGCCGAATGAGAGAGGTAGGATACACGAGCACAAAGCTCCATTTCGCAAACAGTTGAGTGCACAAGCCTTTAAACTAAAATATACTCCTTTGTCAGTCTGTTAGAGACGCATTCAGAAACCGCAAATGGTCACTGTCTAGTGGGCTTTGTTTTCAAGTGCGCAACTCATGGCATTCGCTGTTCTTCTGCTGGCGGCCGGTTATCAAACAGCGTTGCATTGCTGCGGGCGCCCCCTTCTGGATTGGGGGTTAATTGCCTGTATTCGTTGTAAGGCCTCATGCACCGAACCGAGATGTCCGTACCGTGACGGTTCGGTACGAATACATGTATCGTTCCACCCCTAATAAGGATTAATCTATATTTAATCTATACAGTCTACGCTGAGTTTCAGTTCATTTTTGTGACAGGCTTAATTTGTTCACAGAAAGGAAACTCAAATGGCAGAAAGCGACATATTTGTTTTCTTTATTTTACAAAAGCACAATGTTTTGTTTTCATTGTGAGTGTACACAAATAAAAGCAGACATTTATACAGTGATGCATTATTAATAAGACAATAAGTGTTTAAAGTTGATTCTGCTGGTATAAGGAAACAGTTGAAGTGTTCGCGCCGGCACACGCACACACACACACACAGACACACACACACAAAACACATCAGTTCCAGCATTGCTAACTTGACAGCGCAGTTGGTACTTTATCAAAATAAAATACAGTGAACCAAACATCAGTGCGCCCACCTCATATGTTTCGGTTGCATTTGTGAGTTAATAAAAATGTAGATGGTTGTTTAAAATAGATATATAATATAATAATATCGATATATCGATCGATATTCTCCTGTATCGAAATCGTATCATATAATTTTTTGAAGTATCAGCAAATATTGTATCGCTGGGAATGAGAATCGATATTGTATCGTATCGTGACGAACCATCCGATTTACACCCCTACTGTAGAACAAGACCAAGGTTTAGAGCATTCTTACTTACTAATTTCTGTAAGAAAACCATCTTACTTACCCTGACCATGCATACTTGGCCAAACCAAACCATTGGTTATCTGTGGAGGCAGATGTTTTCGGTATGACCATCACTTCTCTTCCGCTCTCATAGCACCTCTGCATGGGTAAAAGAAATGGTTTATCATCCTTTGCATCCATTCAATATCCTTTCATTTGAAATTGAGAAATGTAATCCATATAAGACAGTTTTTGCAAACTGATTAATCTAAAACCTCAATTAACAGTAAAAATGTGGCAAATCTCATTAAATCTAAGCGCTAAGTCTTAATCAATTTTAATTCAATTTAGTGTGATTTTTTTTACATGAAAAACTGCATATTGGCACCGCAAAAGTGAATATTAATAGTACAACAAAAAGTAAAACGAATAAAACAAACAAAAAATTTAAGTAAAGCAAAAATATAAAAACCCCAAATTAAACAAACAAAAAAAACAAATCTAAACAAAAACTAAAAATGAAACAAAACTAAACTAAAAATAAAAGCTCACAAAAAACAAAACAAAAAATTTAAAGTAAAAACATAAAACAAGAAAAAACTAACTAAAAGAAATTAATACAAAAAAACGTAAACAAAAATAAAACGAACAAACAAAAAACTCAAAATAAGAAATAGAAAAGTAAAAACACAAAAAAACAAACAAACAAAAAAACACAAAATAAACAAAAATAAATTATAAAAACACAAAATAAAACAAAACTAATCAAAATAAGAATGCTAATTTAAACAAAACAAATAACTGAATAAAACACAAAAAACCCCGAAAACATTAATCTTGACCCTGGGAACGTCTCAGGTTAAGTATGTAACCATGGTTCCCTGAGAAGGGAACGAGACACTGCGTCCTCTAGAGGTCGATATGGGGGGACACCTTCAGTGTGACCGGTGTCTGAAGCATATATCTAAAAACGACAATAACATTGGCCGGCGACAGCCTATGACGTCATTACCCTGTGCGATCACAGTATAAAAGGACGCCGGGATAACACATCATCCACTTCTTCGTCTGACATAAATTACTCACCCTCAAGTCATCCTAGGTGTATATGACTTTCTTCTTTCAGACGAATCCAGTCGGAGTTATATTAAAAATTGTCTTTGATCTTTCAAGCTCTATCGTTGTACTCAGCGGGTGTTGCATTCCTTCGTTTCAAATGACGTGAAATAAAAAGCACCCTTCTACAAAAAAAAGTGTCTCACACGGCTCCGGGGGGTGAACAAAGGCCTCCTGTAGCGAATCGATGCGTTTTTGTAAGAAAAATATCCATATTCAAAATTTAATAATCACTTGAATCTAGCTTGCGCCAACAGTTGTACACAGAAGCAGTTCCGGGAGCATGACGTATGGGGTCAGGCTTGCTCTGCATGAGCTTGCTGAAGGAACTGTCTGAACAGACCCCTAGTAGCAACACCCTGTTAAAGTAGGTATCCTGAGGATACATAGGTAGAGTGGTGCCCAAGGTGGAACCGGGGCCTAAACGACTCAAAGAAAGGGCACGAAGCCGCCGCGCGTAGCCCCTACCATACAGGATTTTAGAAATAATGCAAAATGCTTGATGTGCAAACTTACCACAGCGTGGATTTTAGGAAGTGCACAGGGACTTCCCATAACATGGATTTTAAAGATACCGTTCTAAGGGGCCCTCGTGGCACTCTGAAGGAGCAGTACATTGATGGAAACGGCGCATCCCAAGAACAATACGTCTGAGAAGTCACCAACTCATCCTCATGGTATAATGCTGGAATGGCTAGCAGTAAGTTACCTAGCTGAGGGAGCATAACACCCAGCTCTCAGCCGAGAGGGGGCTCGACCTACAGCATGTTCGTTAGAAATCAGAAGGGTAAGCGTACTGCAAAGCTTAGCCAAAAACTCAGCGCATCAGGGAGGCAGAGGAAGGGCCTAGTTCGCGCTTGATGTTGCTGGTTCCAGGTGCTCTGGGAAAACAGAGAACTCAACTCTCCACGTGAGAGGAGAACTCCCGAATTCAGAAAAGGGGTAACGTGCTCATAGGCAACACTCTGATAGCGGGGAGCACTGCTAAACACCACCACGAGAACAGCCCACGGAGCGGTGAAATCAACCCTTACCATACAGGATATTAGAAAGTGCACAGAGTGCTTAGCGTGACAACCCTCTGAGGTGAGGGGAGCACTGCCTGACTTGACCCGAAAAGAGGCAGCTTATCAGGGAGCGGCCCAACTACCTGATGTCACTGCCACGGAGCGACTCATAGCTAGCCCTCACAGAGAGGGGAGCACTTCTCAGCTCGTCCAGAAGGGGGCGCTAGATTAGAAGGGGTAACCCAGCAGGGCCCAATAAGAGACAGTCCACTGGTGCAGCTGGACACGGTCTCATGCTCTCTATCTCGATAGAGAACGTGGGTCCCGTATAACCAGACCCGATAGAATCTGAAGAAATAGCGGGACCCAATAACCATTCATGCGTATAGAGCTTACTGCCATAAGGGCAGTGTGACAGTGAGGACCCACGGGCCCGACCGTCTATGGAGCATTGAGCTCCTCAACGCGTCAGCGAGAGGAGCTCTAGCTTAGAGAATGTGCATGAAGGTTAAGGAATGATTCAAATCTTGGGAGACCCCTCAGGGTGAGAAATGAGTAGTTCGCACCTGGCCAGAGGATAGGGAGCATGTCGCGAAGCATGTACTCAGAAGAGTACTAGCCCACAAAAAGGACCCACAGGTCCTGAGGTTGCAGCGTTATACTGGGGACCTGTTGCTGGAAGACTTCCTCAGAAGCCCAGGCTGCGTGTCCAAGCCGAAGATGAGGGCTATCACCAGCCTGGAACCAGAACCGATGAGTGAAACCATCACTGTAATCGGTCAATAGCAGGAGGCCCTGACTTAGCAGGTGGGTCAAACCTAAAGTCAGAAAAACAGAACAGGTCCGAGTAGCGCTGCAGAGAAAGGCTAGCATCAAATACACAAGAACTAGCAGTAGAGTAGATAAAAATGGATCATACTC